ATATATACATGTAACTATTTTAAATTATTAATAAAGATATAAGCAAGACCTCACCTTAATACCAAAAAAAAAAAAAAAAAAATCCAAGTTTTTTTAAATGTAATATATATAATTTTTTTAAAAAAAACAAAAACAAAAATAAATAAAACTAAAAAAAATTAATTAAAAATCTAATTTTTAAAAAAATATAAAACAAATTAACTTAGTTTCTAAATATAAAATTAAAATAACAATTTGCAAATATGATAATAAAAATAATTTAAGATATATTTTATAAACAAGTATAAAAAATAAAATATGAGAAAAGTAACAAATAAAAAAAAAGGAATAATGATCAAAATAAAAAAAAACTCAAAAAAGTAAAATCCAAATAAAAAAAAATATATTAATAAGAAATAAAAAAAATAAAAAACAAGTAAAAAAGAAAGAAATAAATAAAAAAAACTTCCAAATTGAAAGAAAATTAGAAAAATAATAATGTTAATGTTTGTTATAAAAAAAACTTCTTTTATTATGAACTTTAAGTAGTTAAACAAGCAACCTACTTCTGCTTGAAGTAATATGGCAAGTTGCACTTAGATACTATTAGGATGACCAGGTGATACTAAACTTAGTTGTTAGATAACTCTATGTAATTGCAAAAGTAATTTTAAGAATCTTAATAAAATACTAACGTAACTGCTTAAAGAAAAAAACTTTCCAATTATATTTACTTAGCGATGCAGATCATTTTCTTCAGGTGACTCACGGATCATCAAATGATTGTATATTTTAAATTAATATATTAAGTTTTAAAGCTTGAATATACTATAAAAAAATATTTGAATATTAAATATAGTTTAATTGATAGGCCGTGACTCATCTAGGAAGTAATTAATCATGAACCAAATCAACATATGTTATCAGTAATGTATTCAATATATAGCTATATATTAATTAATATACTACCAACCTACTGCAAGCAATTGATATATATTATTACTGATGTGTAAACAAAAAAGATGGAACACAATTTATAAAATATCACGTAACTAAAGTTGAATACTTCATGTTTTTTTTTTTGCAATCCACATTATAAATATCTAATTATAAAGGTTTATAATACAAACAATAATTTATCTACATATTACATGTACAAGGAGCACAAAAAAAAAAAAAAGAAAAGAAAAAAACTAATAAATGAAACAAACATTAACAAAAGATATTATACAATTATGAAGCGGGACTGAAAATGATGGGCATTCCGTCCGTAGAGTTAGCAGTATTACTAGCTATATTACCTACTTTTGACTCTCTTGCTGTTTGTACATTGGAAGTATTTGAAGGAGACATTCCTACGAATCCTCTTCGATCTCTACGCCTCATAAATAATTTCCAGTTATTTTTCAATTTACCCAAAATTCGATCCATATCCTTTTGTTTTTCATCATCAGATAAAATTGATGATAAAATATATGACATTTGTAGCATACGAGCAGCAGTATCAGTCACTGGAATTCCTGAATCAAAGTCATGGAATAACTTGTTAAATGCATCTGTATTACAATAGGCATATTTTTAGTATATCTTTAGTATTTTTGATTAAAAAAATTACACCGAATAATTATTTTTAAATAATTATTTTAAATAAATCTTTTAATGATTTATACCTTCCACTCTTTTTCCAATTGGTAATATGACATGATCTCTAAAACTCATTAATACAAGTCGTCTAACATTCATATCGTCACGTTGTGCCGTAGCTTGCATTTGTAATGGAAGGAAAACACCTTCAAAGTAAGGTAAAACTGTTCCAAAATAAAAAGCCCATATTTCAACTAGACGAGAGACAAGTTTTTCATCGGGAACATCTTTCAATTTTCCATTAAGAGTGGACATTCCTGTTAACAAGAGGTTGTTTATGTCATCTCGCAACAATTGTGGGGATCGATCTTTTATACAGCATCTAATTATATAAATATAAGAATTAATATAAATAAAGAAATGATATTAAAAAGAAGAAGAAGAAGAAAAAAAAAGGAGAATTGATTTTACCTTACCAATTCATTCAAATCTTCAATATATGCTTTTAATCCTAAACCATTAAATAAGGGTAAAACTTTTGCACTTAATGAAGCCCATTTATCATCCTGACCTGATTGTTCTAATTTTTCTAATTCTTTTGTAATTGATGGCATATGATCATAAACAGGACTTCGATGAGAAGGAATATAATGTAAATGATTAGTATTAGCACTATCTTTTAAATTAACACTAATCGATCCAGTTGAATTTGATTTTTCGTGAAAGTGACCTCCAGAGGAAGAAACCGAGTACATGGTTGAAGCCGAATTTGAACGCTCCATAGGAGGCATTACAGGAGCCAATGATGAAGGAGAAGCGGTTACATTTAAAATAGAAGAGGCAGCAGAAGAACTTGAAGAAGTAAGAACGCTAAAACCACTACGATTTGAAAAGGAAGGCTGGGAGCGATAATTTGAGAAAAGTTGAGGAGTTTGGGGCATTTGACGCTGTTGCTGTGAAGCTTGAGAAGACCATGGGCCATTTGTATCTGTCGACATGGGTGTGATCGTAGTAATGGTTCCACCTGCTTGAATAATCGGAGCAGTATATGTGGAAGCGGAAGAAGAAAATGAGGGTAAACTTGTACTAATAGGTGCTTGATGATGGTGTGAAAGAGAAGAAGTTGAGGACGTAGAAGAAGTGCTTAAAGAATTATATGCCGGAGTTGAATGAGGTGATTCACCCATTTCTTGGATAGGATTCAAGCTCATGTCTAATTTCTTGTAAATCAAAATATTTTAAAAATATTGAATGCATTATAGTTTAATGCAATTATATATAGTAACTGATCGTCGTACAAGCATAGTACATACGTACAATCAACTTCCCTGAAACCGAACTTGGATAAACCGAACACTTAATACGTAGACTATAACTGAACTTTAAATTTTATTATGAAAGTCGGTTTAGACACTAAGATTAAATTGAAGATTTGTAGGTTATAATAAATTGATAAATTTAAATTCTTGTCTGCTTCATCATTTCTCGAAAATAATGAGTAACCTGGACAGGCATATTTTTTTAAACAAAACGGTAATGTATTTACATTACTGCAGTACGGATTAGTATCATTGAACTAAATCAATAAGATGCTTAGCCTTATCCGTTATCTAGATTTTCACATGACCAAATTCGTAATTTCTTAAATTTCTTAATGAACTATTGTTATTGCTATGTACACATGTATAGATTTAAAGTAACCAAACTATTAACTTGAATAAACTGCTAACTTGAATTGTTTGTTATACGTATAAGATCTTTGCTAGGAAAAGACATATGATTTACTATGTTTCGTGATTGGATTTTCCTTGAAAAGATCGTACTGTCACTATATATTAATAAATTTTAATTTGTCTATCCTATATATTGACTTTTTTTAATTTGTCTTTTTTTTTTGAAGTATCATGATCGGAGTTATCCGTTGATCTACCCTAATTTACTATTTTACCTATCGCTATAAGCTACTTCCAAATACATAAAATACATACTATAAACCAATCAATATATACATAATTCTTTTTTAATTACTGAATTATGCATAGACATTAGGACATGCCCAGACACTATCTAGTATTTTATTATTTTAATGTATGTATTTTATGAAAAGATTTTATACGTATACTATATATATTGTTATTATGTTAAACAAACATTAGCATAATTTTATTGATTTTATATTTATATATATATATCTCTTATATAGATACGTGAACATACGTGTCTATACGTATCTGCGGATTTTTAAAGAACCTTAAAATTATGGGAGTATTAACCTGGTAGGACAATCTTTAGACTTATTATCAATAAATTATACTGTAATACTACAGTATACTGTATCAATGCTACGCATGCATTAGTGTTGGATTAGAATTTAGCTACATAATGAAGAAAAGTAATCAAGGCCACATACTGAGGCATGAATTTGACTGGCGGTTATTACAATTATATTATCACGAATTATTCGTACTTTTTAGATTTATTTTTTTAACTCTATTTTAGGTTCCTCTCATTTTTTTTTTTCTGATTTTTAATTTTAATATCTTGGTTTTCATAACATGAAACTTTTAAACAAATCAATCGGCCAGCTTTTTTTTAAAACCCTCCACCTGATTATTATAACATATAAATTTTTTTTTTATAATTAATTTTGCATGACCTAATGTTTAATATGTTTGTTAATTTTAAATTTAGCCAAACATTAGCCTGACTTAAACCAATTATATACTGTATAACTTAAAAATCTTAGCTATATTTTGAATTTATCATTTATTATGTATAACAAATAAACATAAACATATTAATATGTGTATAAAAGAAAGCTATTTTGTTAAAAGCTTGTTTAAATACATTTGACCCTCGTTAATATCAACCTTAACATAAATTGAATTTCTATATATATACTGTATTAAATTTATACGTATTAAAATTCCCTCATATATATCAACTTTAAATATGATCCCTCATTAATATCACTATCAACATGATAGGTTGATATTAGGGTGGGTCATGTGTATATATCATACAAGCTTTTTTAAAAAAAATGCTTTACTTGCAAAGTAAAAACCTGTAATTGACTTAATGCGTAATTTACTATGATCAGTTACAGGTTTTTACTCTAATGTATTTTAAGCTTTTAAATTTTTTTTTTTTTAGTTACTTATAATTAAAATAGTTTTACGTACGTTATATATATTTTTTTGTCATTTAAAACAAGAATTTATTTAATATTCACCGGTGGTGAAATTAGGGAAAACCACATTACGTTGAAGGTCACTACTCCAGATTACGCTCTAAATTTTATATTACTTATTCTTAAATATCAAATAGTCAAATAGTTTATCAATAACATTGTTACAAATTAAATTAGAAAACAATATTTAAACCTATTCTGCATAGCATTATTATACATAGCATTATTATACGATAAATGTTATACCACTTCTTGGTGGGTCGCATCATACAGTAGTAAAAATGTATTGATTCTATAACAAGAAAAAAGATATAAGAGAATGAGGCGTCTGTAAATAGAGACATATAAAGTAGACTTGCTACCCTTCGATACTGAACTGTTAAGTTCTGCTATATGTACGTATGTACTTACATATCTAATATGTTCGGAAATCTCCTTGTAACCAAAGAAATCTTTTGGTAAATTCGTTTGGCCTGGATTATTTAAAGTATATATTAACGTATAACATATTAAATATTAAAGATAACGATAACGCTAAATTTAATTCGATTGCCTAATCGCGATAATCGAGTGACAACCCACTTTTTTTTTGCAAGTTAAAAAAAACTCTCACGTGGTTTTTATGAAAAGCGGACATCAATTTTGAGCAATAACGTATTGTACGTATTGCAATTCAGTCATTTCCAATAACTCGACTTTCCGAAGGAGTCAACCATTGAGCGATTAGGACTCACTCCTCTCGAATGTCATAAAGTTACTGTCGGTACGAAATCATACTTAGGCTGAGTATATCCCATAATAGATCTTTAATTTCCTAACCCCTATAACCTGACCTTCATATCTTCAATCGACTTGGGTAGATTTTTCAAAGTCCGAACGGCTTCTCTGTATGTTAGAGAAAAAATTTACCTATAGAGTATTATATTTTTTAATTATAGCCTTTACTTTATTATCTCCCAAATTTAAAAAAACTTCCCTTGTACTTTATGAGAATGAACACAACGGTTCTCACTCACTCTGCTCAACTTTCTATAAACGATCACCAAAAATCGCTCGGAAAAGTTAAACAATATCATAGTACTTCGGATTTGTTTGTCGAATCGGACGATATAACCTTTACACCCTTAGATCCCGATTCCATGCTCGCAGATTTACCTTATACTTCCAGTACTGGTTCTGTCAGTGGCTCAACCGTTATTACCAGCCCTGCTCCTTCTTACATGGCCCACCTTCCTTCAAAGTTAAAATCTTTTTTTAGACTAAGCGGCGGTCATAAAAAGGAATCTTCGATGAGTTCTGCTAATGGTGAACATGGTTCCTCCTCATCTTTATCATCCATTTTGTCAAACGATAGTGAAAAGAATTCTGTTAATGATTATGTTCAAAATGAGGGTTCGAAACCAGAAAAAAATAAAACAATTGGATCTTTGTTTTTAAAAGATCAAAACAGTAATCAAAAGCTGCGTAGGGTAGCTTCTGCTCCTAATACTAAAACTTTGAACGATATTAATCTTGGAAATTCGCAATATCAATTTTACGGAAATTCCAACGAGAATAATAACGTAAAATTGTCTGTTCCAGTTAGGCCTGTATCAGAAATAAAACGGTCTGGGACTTTCAAACGAACTTATTCGTCAAATTCGATCAAAATCAAGAGAGTTGAAGTCGGTCCTAGTAGTTTCCAGAAAATTAAATTATTGGGAAAGGGTGATGTTGGAAAAGTATACTTAGTAAGAGAAAAAAAGACGGGCAAACTTTATGCAATGAAAGGTATTCTAATAATAATCAATAATAATAATAATTATTATTAATAATATAAAAAAAAAAAAATTGTATTTAAAATTTTAAAATTAGTTCCTTTCGTGAAATTTGTTTCAAATCTTACACATTTCATATTCTAGATTCCTCTCTTATATTCAAAATTAACACATTATTTTATATATATTTTTTTTTCAAATTTAAAAAAAATTTTACAAGTTTTATCAAAAAAGGAAATGATCAAGCGGAACAAAATCAAACGTGCGCTTGCTGAGCAGGTTAGTTAAATATTAGTTAAAATAGTAGATAAAATATTAGTTAAAATATTAGATAAATTATAATGAATTCATCATATATATATATATCTGAATATCTTAATTATATAGGAAATTCTGGCTACATCAAATCATCCATTCATCGTCACGTTATATCATTCTTTCCAAAGTGTGGATTATTTATATTTATGCATGGAATATTGCATGGGTGGTGAATTCTTTCGTGGTTAGTGCTTACTAAAATCATTTGTGTTATATTTATGCTAAATATATATTTTTTTAAATTTAAGTTTTGTATAATATTTAGCATTACAAACACGGCCAGGGAAATGCTTATCAGAAGAAGATGCTAAATTTTATGCTGCTGAAGTAATTGCTGCATTAGAATATTTGCATTTAATGGGTTTTATTTATCGTGATTTGAAACCTGAAAGTAAGTAATGTTTTTTTTTTTTTTAGTAACCTAATTACATTAATACATCTTTCATACTAATTGTTTATAATTCATTGTATATATTATATTATTAATAGATATATTACTACATCAATCAGGACATATCATGTTATCAGGTTACTATAATGTAATGATATCATCCTTTGCATGTGAAATATGTGTTGAATAATATTTACATTTCATTTATGGAATAAAAAAAACTACAGATTTTGATCTTTCAAAACAATCCCATCCAGCAAATATGCCCGGAATTGTTAAAAATAGCTCTGGAAATTCTGTAAGTAATTTATAAAACATACTAATTATGTTATATTATACATATTAATATACATATTAATATACATACTAATATACATATTAATATACATACTAATATACATACTAATATATATATTATTATACATACTAATATACATATTAATATACATACTAATATATATATTATTATACATACTAATATATTATTATATACATATTGTTATACATACTAATTTACATTATTAATATAAAGCCACCAACAATAGATACAAAATCATGTATTGCTCATCTTCGAACGAATTCTTTTGTTGGAACTGAGGGTATTTAAGAATTAATAATTTTATTTCCTCTTTGTAATCATTTTCCTCTCGTTAATATTCTTTTTGTTAATAATCCAGAGTACATTGCTCCAGAAGGTAATACGTCATCATTGGCTCATTCTATTCGTTGACTTATTTTTCATTAGTTTCAAAATATTTTAAGTAGAATATTTACATATTTGATTTATTAGTGATTAAAGGCTGTGGTCATACAAGTGCCGTTGATTGGTGGACACTTGGGATCCTAATATACGAAATGCTGGTGATTATTGTAAACAAGTTTAGATTCTATTTTAAATATAGTGTGTTTGTCTCAAAATTATTTTATGCTCGTTGATTTTTATAGTACGGATTCACTCCTTTCAAGGGTCAGAATCGTAATGCCACTTTTTCTAATATATTGAAAAATGATGTTTGTTTTCCAGAAACAGGGGGTGCACAAACGGTATCAAGGTAGTTACAATTATTATGTTAACATACAATTATTAAATTTAACCATTAATTGAAAACATCTTCAATTTTACCTTACTCTATTCATCAGTCTTTGTAAAGCATTAATCCGTAAATTGCTGTGTAAAGATGAAAATCGACGACTTGGATCTAAAGCTGGTGCATCTGACGTTAAAGCTCACCCTTTCTTTAAGAGTACGCAGTGGGCTTTACTGAGGCATGCAACTCCACCAATTATACCTCAACAAAGTTTCGGTACTGATACTGTAAACTTCCGTAATATTCAAGAAAGTGTTAGTTTAGATATGGAAGGAGAGAAAATCGTGGTTAGTGTTAATGGTGACAATCCTTTTGAAGAATTTAATAGTGGTAAATCTTGGTTTTATTTATTATTTTATGGTTTATTCTCGTTCATTCATTCATTCATTTTTCATAAAAATTTATTCAATTTTATTCATTTTTTTATTCATTTTCTTTTTCCCAGTAACGCTACATCATGATGGTGATGATGATTATATATAAATTTTTATTATCCCAAGTGAATGAGAATTTTTAGTACTAGGCATTGTAAATGCAGGATCATGCAATGTCCAGAAAAATGAAAATTTGTGTTGTGTAGATTCATATCATGAGCTACAGGATGTTAAACCACACAAAGCTAAACATAAACCGTAAAGAAATAAATGTTTATATAAAAAAATAAAGAGAAAATGTTGGCAATTCAAAAAAAAAAAATTTCAACACTGCAAATTTAAAGATAGTCACCGATTTTTTTTTAAAAAAAACCCCCCCCCCCCCCCCACCAACGCTTTTGATCAATCTTTTATTTAAATATTATTATTTGATAGAGAAATTACAGAATTAGATGAATACATTTAAACAATTAGTTACCATTTTTGGTTTTGTTTCAAATTTAGAAATTTTTAAGATAAAAAGTTTATTAAATCATGTAAAATTGAAACATCACGTGAGATCAAATTTAATACGTATATAATGATATGTAGTGGATTACGTATATAACAATAAATGTAAAGTTTTATCGTTATCCGATGAATAGTATATTCTATATGAGTTGATTAGGGGTTTGCAACTGGGCTCATGCCCATGCCTAACAAAAATTCAGGCATGGCATGGGCATGAACACTGGTACAAAAATTTGGTATAAGCATGGGTACAAGCCAGTGTTGTACATTTTTTACTGTCCAAGGCTTTTTTGACCATCCAAATGTCCAAGTGTCTAAGAGTGTCCAAAGCATGTTCAAAAATGTTCAAACTCATGTCCAAAGCTGTCCATTGACAATACTGGATACAGGCACAAAAATTTGACATAAACTTAGCATGATCATGGGTATAGGCACAAACATTTAGTCTTTATTAATTAATTGTGTCTGGTACTTTGTCCGGCACTTGTGCCAGGCATCTTTTTGCCTAATATATTGTGCCATGCCTATAATAATACCTGGCATTTATACTTATGCTCATAATAATTCCTGGCACTTTGATGCTTATTTGCAAAGCCTTAGAGTTGATATTCAATTTGCCATTAGAGATTGATAAATCAAGAGTTCAAAATGAAATAATTTCTAAAAGAATACTATAAACAGTATATGCATGTAGTTTTAGAAGTTATTTTCAATGTTAGCATTAGATCAATTTTATGAACCTAATTTTCAAATTACTTATTTAAAAGAAGGTTCAAATGAAGCAATTTGACAAAAGATATAAATAAAATTGTTGCTTTAAAATTAGTTTAGATATCTGTTTTTTGTATTTTATATATATATTTTTTATTTCTTTTTACTTTATAAAAATATTATAATTTGATTAATTAATTTATATAATTAATAAATTTGATTGATTAATTTTATAAATTACTCAAATAAGAAAAATGTTAAAGTATTAGTTAGATTACTTTTTTAATTTAGTTAAGGTTAGTAGATTATATAAATATGAAGAAAGTTACCAAAATCTAAATAAATTGTTTCTATTAAAATTTTTCTTAAATTTTAAACTTGAATATAAAGGTTTGGAGTGTGGGTCCTATAGCTTAGTGGTTAAGCTTCCATACTCTCCACAGTCAAGGTCAATGGTTCAAGTTCAGCTGAAGGCAAAATTAAAAGATTTTAGCTTCTGTAACTAATAAGAAACCTGTAATTGAACACAAAGCCCTGTGGTTAAAAGTTCAAGTGCAGTACAATGATGGAAATAGAAATTACCAGAAAGAGACCCAATCATAGAGTGAAGGCATTATGCATAACAAGCAGTTGTTATAGAAGGTTACAGATATGGAAAGATTGCACATGTAAGTTCTTTAGACTAGGGCAACATCAACATCCTTATACCTTCCAATATAGGCAGTACCAACATCTCTATACCCAACTTATAGGATACTTGCTTGGAAGGATAATCAACAGATTGTACAAATAAGTCTTAATTGGGATCCAAGAAAAGAATTTGATTGGGAGAGTAGTTTGATAAGTAACCAAGACTGGAATGGTGAGAGAAGCAGTGAACACGAAGATGAACTGTGATAAAGGATTGGTCTAACCAAAATTGGAAGCATCTCTGACATAGT